ATATCAGACGAGCCCTCCGGAAGAATCACTTTAACGGTCACGTCATCGATGACACTGTTGTCGAAGATGTGGTCCACGAATGGGATCTTAAGCACGAAATCGTTGCCTTCGTTGAGAAGAAGGTCTTGAGAGGAGATATAATACCCCAAAAGGTAATGCGTTTTCCATCCGCCAAACAGTGGGAACCGCGGCCTCAGGTCTGCGATCAGGTGTTGGGAACCGGCCTTCAGATTACTGGTCGATATGTTCCCGATGTCGTCCCTATAGTAGATATCCCTCGCATTCACCGGTAGTTTCGTTTTCCATGACTTTATCGATGAGATGCCGTTCGTGGGCTCTCTCTGGAACTCATACCGAGAGAAGGCTCCCTTGAGCTGAGCGCCGGTATGCAACACATCAATGGTCTCCTCGACGGAGATCATAGCCGACCAATGGCTCACTTCGATGACCCGCTCCAGTCTCGTGACAGTGAGGAACGGCGTGTTGTTCTCGTAGTGGATCTTCAGCTCTGCGTGAGTGTTGGCCGCGATGTTATCGTACGGCCCGTAAGTGATGGTGCGGTCCGTCTGCGCCGTTGGCTTCACTTTCGTGAACGACTCGACGCTACCACTCGGCGTCAGCTTTACTTTCGTGGTCTGCGTTTTGGTCTCATAGGGGCTCCAGAAGTACACGTTTCCGAAGTACTGGACGAGTTGTCGCTCCGCCTGAAGGATCTGTTCGGGAAATGGCGTCAACGAGTGCGTGAAGACGGTGTCGATCTCGATGACAGCGCTGGCCGACTGTCCGGCGGCTATGGCTTCGGAGGCCGACAGTTGCAGACGATATGTCTTGTCGTCCACTTTCGCCACTTTGAGGGCCTTCTTGTCGATTGTGGCCGAGATGTACGACAAGTGCTGAGCGCTCAACGCATCCAAACCGACCACATAGTGATCCAAAGACTTCTTATTACGGCTGTTGTCGACCACCACTCGGGTCTGTATTCTCACGAGTTGTGAGGATATGTCGATAACGCGATCCACTTTGCCGTTCACCACATCACCGGTCGATTGGGTGCCGATGGTCACCACCTGCACGCCTATCACCACCAACAGCGAGATCAGCGACCACTTCATAGCCATTTGCGATGGGAATCGATGGCTGAGTGTATGGATACTAATGAGACAATCGTTGTGTCGGACTATAAGACGTGGAACTCCTCGATGCCGGCGATCAACACATTCACTAACAATACTAACCAATGCTTCACTGCTTTGAGAGTTGCCATCAGTGGTGACACTCTGTGTCCGTAACACTCACTGCCATTCAGTCGTGTGTTGTGTCGGTCGTTGAGTCCATGCGCTCAACACTGGGAGCGACACCTCCGACACCATAACCATATGTATTGCACACCTCTTTCTCATACACTTTCGATTGGATTTTTGTTCTTCAATTACATTGAAAAGTCTTAGTAAATGTCAACAGCAATGAATGTGCATTTAAATGCATGCATTTGTTTGCTTGATCGATACGATTGGCTTATAAAGCGATTGGTTTTACTGTACAAATAGAGGTGTCATTAAAATACTACAGCAATAAATGAATGGGAAAAGTGCAAGTGTCCAGGATAATTTTTAGAACTCTTATACATTGCTCATTTTTCTATAAGTTTTTAGAAACCACTTATATAAATAGGTTCACTTGTGAGACACTATACTATACACTGATTTCACTGTAATTAGACTTTTAGTCAAAGTTTAGAAAAGTTGTGATCCAATCACCTCTACTATACTGTACTATACTATACTCAAGGCATTGGAGATATGATAGGATTTCTTATCACAAGTTTTGCATTCAATTTAAAGTTCATGTTTTGAATTAGTTTTTGCATTCAATACTAGTCTAACACATTGTTTGCTAATTAACCGCTTATTTGAATACTAATTATGAGCCATTGATTGCATTTAAGCCACAGCTTTGATAAGTGCTGAAAAAGTTTGCTTTATATACCAGTGATCGCTATAAGTGCCGATAAGTTGCCAAAACTTAGGACTAACAGTGAATTTCAGTGAAATATATGCATTCAATGAATGACAGATGAAGTAAAACTCAAAGTGAAGACAATTGCGAGAAATGTCACAAAAGATGACAACCGATGGCTTCAATGGTAACGACGGTGAAGACAAATCACATTTATATCATATTAAGGTTTGCCTCCAATTAATTATCTCTCATTTAATCCACTCTTTCATCACTTATTTGGCTATTCCTCGTAAAAGCGAATCAATCAATGAATGAATGACTGAATGAATGAGTGATTGTTAGAAAACTATCAAATTTCTGACTGCTTTTCACTGCATTTTATGACCACTTGTTTCATAAGGCAATCAATCGATAGATAATGAATGTCTTTAATGATTCAATTTTGGACTTAAATTATTTGCGAAATATGTTTGATATTTGCAATACTATAAGTAACCATTTATTAGCATTTATACTCCATTTTTAGGTTTAAATTTAAAATACATTTCTTTTTAGTGAGTAAATAGCGATATCTCTGTGAAAGGCTCCGTTCAGACCGAAAAGCACTTGACTTTCAATTGATTGCAACAAAAATCTATTCAATGCTATCACTAATCATACACTCAGTCATACATTGTATATACATTTCGCTAGAATTTTAATATTTAATTTTGTAAAGAGTTTAATATTACTGTATTTATTGTCATTAAGTGTATAATAATAAGACACTGAATAATACACAGAATCTAAAAATTCTGTAAGAATCGCAACGAATTGATTTTGCTACCCTAACCTGCTAATGCACCAGGGTTACTGTAACCTTGATTAAATTTTAAAAATTATTATCGGTATAGACTTTTTATAATTACACTGTAAATTGGATTAAGACTTATACACTTGTTTAAAATATTATAATATTTAGTAGTTTTAGTGAATGTTTACAAATTGTTTACTAAATTTAAACTCAAGGACTTTTGCTCCGGAGCCCCAGTCACTAGTTATGGAAAAATAAGACAATTGTTGACAACTGATCCATATTTATGAATACAATAACACCTTTTATAAACGAGTCCAGGGATGTGATAGCTAACAGTGTAGTGATGGTTGTGCTGATAGCTGATAGAGGCCAGGGAGCACAGGGAGCACAGGGATCTACTCAACTGAATACAAGTGCAAACATTTGAGACAATTAGCACAATAGCATTTAAATAAAATCTAGTTAATTGATTAAGAAAAATTTTATTTAATCAAATACAAAAAGTTTTTTGGGTTACATATCATTTAAGCGGGCTATTGAACTGTCTGGATCATAAATTATTAAGTTGGATAATACTGTACTTGATTTAGTGTTGTAGTTGTAATACTTTCAAATCTGGTTCATACAAATGAGTGATTACTTTGAATATTTATAACTTTTGATGAGCACTCATATGAGCACTGTTTATAATAACTGAATAATGAAAACCATTATAAATAGTTTATAAAAAAAACTACATAATTATTCCAATAGTTAATAAAGTTATATTTACCGTATTTATTTACTGGATATTCATATATAGACTTGATAAAGATCTCAATTTCTTATTGCGTTTAAAAATACTTTGATTTGTTTGTAACGTCAAATAAAATTATCTACGTAAAATTTTAAGTGAAATATCGGAAATTCTGTTCAGAATAAGTAGCGAAAGGCAAGAATATCGAGTGAAATATCTGTAAAATTGTCGTCTATTTGCAGTGTTTGACGCAAATCTTTTCATTTGTGTTTGTTTTGCTATCAATTAATATAGATTTTAGTTTTATTCACTCCTATTATGACATCCAATGTCTTGTCTTATCTGTTGTCTACACATATATATATATATATATATTGAATGTCTTTTGAGATCTTATTGTTAGTTATCGTCAGTCGACAACTGTTTCGAGACTACAATTCTGTTACCAATTCTGATACACATACTAATGATTAGAGTTTTGAAAATATAATTTTAAGAATTTATAAGTATTTTTTCGTGTAAAACATTTAATGAGACCTTAACCACGACTTTAATGCTTAAGCAATCGACATATCACGTGAATTATGCGCCGGTGCGACAGATAAGGACCAGTTATCGGGGCAATGATGAGAGAACGCCACTGATTAATGGCAATTGTTTGCCATCCAATCCCCACATGCCTTCCTATAACACACTGTAAGGCTACACGACTTGAAAACAGCAAAACTTGTTGTTTGTCTAAACTTTGAAACATTAGTTTATTAAACAAAATCTGATTGATATTCAGCAACAATTCAAACAGCGATTCAGTCAAATCGGACTCCATTTACGAGATGGACATCGAAGAGCGCCCTAAGAGTGGCTCTAAGCTCCAGTTCATGAAGACCATCCTTCTGGCATCACTCATCATATATACCCTGGTAAGTGATCTTACATTAAAAGCAACTACGAACTTTTTTCCAGTAGATTTCAAAATATTATTTTAATTTATCGCGTATAAAATATATCATAAGTTATGATTAAAAGCGTGTTTATATGAAATGTTAAAATACGGCTCACTTTTGCTGACTTCAGATAAGTTTCATATTCATACGCGAGAAACACGAGGCCTGGAATAATGTGGCCGTTCAGCAAAACACACCCGTCCTCGTGGACCTGTCCGAGAGTCTGGACCTCATGTTTCCCGTGTGGAAGCTGAAGGCGAAGGGAACGTTTGTGTCCAACGAATACGCAAACCTAACCGACTATGAGGTCCGCTTCTCAATCATCCGGATCACCGAAGAAAACAAGAAGTCGGTGATGAAGGGGCCGTGGATTGCGCCCATCGCTCCTAACTTTTTGTCTCTAGAGGTGGGCAGTCATGAAGTGGAGCACACGTTTGTGGTCAACAAAGAGGATCATTATGACGATGACGATCACTATCAGCTCAAGATCGAGACTAATCTCGAAGAGTCGGTCGGAATATCTATCAATATTTCTGGCTTTTCTGAGCTATCATTGGATGGGATACTGTTGGCCGCAGCGGTGCTTATCTTTCTGTATGTCTTAATCATCTTCGAAGTGGTGAACCGAACGCTGGCCGCTATGATCGGCGCCACGGCTGCCATCACTTGTCTCACACTTATTAGAGATGTATTGATTTAAACGATAGATTTTGTAAATTAGCAATTGATTGACAAATTGTATGATAATCTAAAGCGTCCGTCACTGGAGAAGGTGGTGTCGTGGCTGGACGTGGAGACCCTGTGCCTACTGTTCGGAATGATGGTTCTCGTGGCCATCCTTTGCGAGACCGGATTTTTTGATTATATCTCTGTTTTGGTGAGAATTGTTTGCTTAATGTATTTATTAATGTTTAAGAGTTTAGTGGAAAAATATTGGAAGAAATTCTGTGTTTGAACTGATTGTGAGATAAAGACTTTCTGAAAGTTGTTATTATAAGGCATATGAGGCATCATATCATCCTTGAGATGAGTTAAACTAATATTAATCCAATTCTTATCGTATTTTACGTATAATTTCGTACATCTCGTACTGTATTACTGATTAAATCTTTATATTTATGAAAATAGTCATCATAATACTGTATACAAAAAATATTGAGATTTGATTTTTTCGATACACAAAACATTATTTTCTAAATGGAAATGTACTTTGTTTCGCAGTCATTATAATTATTTTAATGAAGTGTCACTTCGGATTATTTCACAATTAGTCCAAAGTTTTTCTTACAAAATGAAATATTAAGTACAGTACTTATTTTACACGTGAACTCATAAAAATATTATTTTAATTTACCAAAAATTAAACATTGATTAAGTTTTTTGGCGTCGATTCACTTTTACGTCAATTCGTTTTAATCAGAAATTAGTTTTCAATGTTTGCAACAAATAACTGTAAAAATCGAAACCAAAAACCAATTAATTTGATTTGAAATATTTATAAACAGGAAATTACAAGATTTCGCATCGCTTTGCATGAGATGTAGTTTATCTCTATTTAATTAATTATATAATATTTTCCCAAAATAGAAATGATTATTCTACTTGGTAACAGAATTTGTATAATTGATTTCATTGATTAGGCGTTTCGGTTGGCAAAGGGAAAGTTATGGCCACTTATCCTAACCTTATGTGCATTTACTGGCATCTTATCGGCATTTTTAGACAATGTGACCACTATATTACTCATGACCCCGGTCACTATAAGACTCTGCGAAATCAAAAATATGGACCCAAAGCACGTACTCATAGCTTTGGTTATATTTTCCAACATTGGAGGCGCGGCCACACCGGTGGGCGACCCCCCGAATGTCATAATCATATCCAGCACTAAAATACAGCAACAGGTAAATCATATAAATTAATTATAATCTTATGAATTTATAATTAGTCTAATATACTGTACATGTATAATATAATGTAAGCAAATATTATTTAGAGGACATTTTCGCACACTTTTTCATTTATATAGAAATTTTTTATAAGTTTATTTGCACTCAAGTTGCAGTTTTTTATTTCTTACTGTAATATCACGTAACCTCATGACAAACTTGATGGCTATTTTGCCGCCAACTTTCTACAGCATAAGACTACATCAACTTATAGACTTTGGTCTCAGTTTACTGGGAAATAATTCAATTGAATTAAAAATAGTGTATAAAATGTTTCATTTAATGTTCAAAATCAATTTCATATGAATATCTATACATTTACAACCTTTACATGTAAAATGCATGTGTAAATCTATGTAATGACAAAATACAAAATATTTGGCTAGTTATCTAATGTTTGTTAAGTTTCAATACAATAATGTTTTTCTTATTAAACCAAAACATTGATAGTGTTAGTGGCGTCCGATAAATGTCTAACATCTGATTAATTTTTAAAATGCATAAAATTGCAAGACATGGCACTAATGAATAGGCGGCTTTGAAAATTTCACATAATTTGATAAATATTTTGATATTTGCGAAAGTTTAGAATTAAATAAATATCATCATTTGTTTGACAATAATAGCTATTTATAAGAATTTATGCATAATTTCCGGTTCACATGAATAATTAGCTTTTATATAATATTATTAATAAATTATACCATTAGTAATGAATCAGTACACTAGTACTCTTAATTACCGGTACTTTTATATACATAATATATTTAATGGATTTAATACAATCCTAATAAGTAAACAAAATATTAACTGTTTTTCAACTCATCGATAATTGCTTTTGTCATTTGTTTGGTCTATCAATGGATGAAAAGTTTCAGTTTTATTCCAATAATAATCATTATTATAAACACAGTTATTTCGGCACCAAATGATAAGTTTGGATAAATAGTTGTCATTGTGAGATATTCTGTGCAAATATAGACTTATAATAAGTTTCCCTTGAATATAGTGACTCATGCCGTCACTTAATATAAGATATATTTTTATTCTTATAAACTAAGAGTAAAAAAGAGATAAACAGAAAAAGTGAACTTAATTTTTATGTTTAATTTGCGTCAATCACATGAAGGGCATTGACTTCGGGCGCTTCACGTATCATATGTTACCCGGAATTATCTTCTGTTTCTTGGCCGCCATGCTTATGATACGATTGCTATACCGGGACCTCTCGAACCTCAAGTTCCAGGAGCCCCCGGAACTCGTCGGTACGTATCCCCCACCACCTGTCCCATCAAACACATACGATTAGCACACATTAAGGGCATATTTTATGCTAAATTCATATGAATACTTACTCGTTAGGCTTATATCCAATTCGGTAACTAACAATATAAAAACATTGAGCTATCTATATGTTAATAACTTTACAAGAATGCCAGGGATTCTATACAATGTATAGTATAATCATATGATAAACATAAAATAAACAATATTACTACTTAACAACTCTTAAATAATGATCCCATAATGTGTTACCGAATTAAGTATAAGTATAGAGTTTAATGAATAAATGTGTAAATGATTGCTGATTTCGTGAGCGCAGGCAAAAAGCGGTTAATGGAGTACTTGAAGGTTGAAGTCGAGAATTTAGACTCCATTGAGATTGAACAGAGGAGAAGGGAGGAAAAGGTGACACTACCCTCCCCGCCCTCACAGGACAACGAGGGCTTCACCTACGACTCGACCCAAATGCAAAATCTCGATTCAGGAAACCTATGTTTTCAGTCATCTAATGGTAATTCATGTCATCACCGAATGACTTACCATTGATTCACATGATAACTAACACGTGTTATACTCTGTTTCCTCCGCTCTTCTCGTCTTATTTACTAACAAAATGAATACAGAATTCAAATCTCAAACTCCTGTTTATATGTGTAGTCTTCACATGAGTCTAACGGTTGTCTTATTCTCACTGATGATTGTCTGATGTTTTTATTTCTTAAACTGTGTGTGAATTGATATATGAAATAGAGATTTGATTTGTGAATGTATTGTAAACTTAGAGCTGAAGCGAGAGATTGACGTTTGGAAGAAAGCCTGTAATTCTATATCCGGTTATTCAAGGGATGAGAACTCTGTTCGCGGGGTTCTTAAGCGCAAAGTCATGGCACTCGAGAATCTGCTCCACAAACACCTCTACGACACCAAACCCTCCGAAGACGACTATTTGGCTATTCTCGAAGATCTTCAGAATAAAGTTTGTGTCAAAAATGAGACAAAATATGATTTGTTTTAACATTTGATAATAACTTTATAATAGTATAAAATCCGAAACACGCCTCTACTGATTAAGTCCGGAATAGTGATGGCATTAGTCATAAGCCTATTCTTTATGCAAAGTATTCCGAATTTGGATCTCAGTCTCGGATGGATTGCAATATTGGGCGCTATATTGCTGTTAATTTTGGCCGATTTCGATGAACTCGAAAGTGTTATATCGCGGGTCGAGTGGTCGACACTCATCTTCTTCGCGGCTCTGTTTGTGGTGATGGAGGCGTTGGCGGAGTTGAAGTTTTTGTGGTGGATCGGGAAGTTGACTCAGGATCTGATCAATTCGGTGCACGAAGACAATCGCCTGATTGTCGCTATACTAGTATTCCTATGGGTGTCGGCGCTGGCCTCGAGTTTTATCGATAACATTCCCTTCACGACAGTTATGGTGAAAATAATCGAGGATTTGGCCGATAATAACGAATTTCACGTCCCGTTAACACCACTCATATATGCGCTCGCATTCGGTGCCTGTTTAGGGGGTCAGTAGTTTTTTGTAACAATTTGCAATTTGTGTATTTAATACCTGTCGGTGCTCTACAGGGAACGGTACGCTAATAGGCGCGTCAGCTAACGTGGTCTGTGCGGGTGTCGCCGAACAACACGGCTATCGATTCACTTTTATGGACTTTTTTAAGTATGTATTGAAATATCATTTGTTTATATAGAAAGTGAACACAATTTCTTTCGGTTCATAAAACTTTAGAAATCTTTTGTTAATGTTTCAACACTTTGTTGACTCGTATAATATAACACAGCATTTGTTGTCAAGAATATTCTGTATCCCTTTTGTTCATCGCTGTTGTGTTCAAAAGCCTTTCTGCAGATCTGTGTTATGATTGGTTTTGTGCCAAAAGTATAGCTTTAAGTTCAGTGTATCTAAAATTATGCGTTTCACAAAAAAATTCACATTTTAATTCAATTGACTTTAATATTAATGTAAATATTTTTGCAGAATTGGTTTCCCAATCATGCTTTTGACCACAAGTATTGCCACCATTTACTTAATCGTGTGTCACGTCGTCCTCGACTGGAATTACTAAATAATATCTAAATCTAAAGAGTTTTAATTGAGTTCATGTTTTATATAAGATTTTTTAATTATAAGTCATTTTTATGGTTTATATCTTGATTTTTCCAAATTTTGTATATTTAAGACATTTTTAATCTATTTTGTAAATCTCATTCAGATTCTTATGTTAATATAGCTATTAATTTCATGCAATGAAATAACAAATATTATATGTATTTTGAAATATTTATTTCACATTTTACACAATCAGCTAAAAAGTTTTGCGTATAAAATAAATGGTAGAAATATTTGCCAATACTGTTGTCAAAATTTCTTAAATCTTATCATAAAATCATTTTTGTAATAATAATAAAGAATAATAAGAATAATAATAAATGAAAAAATTATATAATTTATTAAAGCGTTTTCGGTCGGAGTTCTAGTGTTATGACTATATTTCGTACAAAATGTATCTCTTGATGAGCGCCGGTATCGGCAGTAAATCGACTTTTTCGATGACATTCTGGCCGTAGTCGCCGAGAAAGTGTCGGACCGCCACCCGAACCATGTGTTTGAGGGGAATCGGATTCATCGCCGTCTGCAATATGAGCTCCCTTTGAGGGGTTGACAGAAGTGAACATCTTTTGATGGATGCGATGCTGAACGACTCGGCCATCTCTACCACCAGATTCATCACATCCAGGCTTATGTTCAGTCGTATCCTAAGAGTTTCCAATGTATGTCTCAGTCATCAAAGGCTATACCTTCCAAAGCATCTCAACCTACCTGTGCATCACTTTAAGAATTCCGATTGGGTTTGCGATTTGTGCCTAAAATAGTCAACAAATTAGTTTTGTTTTTGACGGCAAACTCATTGTAGGCCTACTTTGATGATAATTCGTGCGCCATATTTGAGTAATAATCGGATTATTTCACAATTGGGTGCTTCGGATGAGTTGAAGTACTCGCCTAACGGCGGCTTCAGTAGAGGACCCCTTTCATCGACGGTTATGGCGTTGGGATCGGCGTCGGCGTCCAACAGGATTTTGACGATTTCCTCTTTGTTCTCAACCTTCAAGAGTGACAACAAATCTCAGATCATTAGTAATCCGATAACCGTTTGATAATGATTTTCATTGTACTTTCTCTGACAGCGCGATATGGAGGGGCAGTCCTATTATAGGGGATCCGACGTTCACCTAAACATATGGCAACGAAACGCACATTTTATACATATTTTGGGAAATTAAGTGATTATTTATAGATATATTAGATTAAAGAGATTATTAGACTGACGTCTGCGCCCGAATGGATGAGCAGTTTAACCATCTCTACGTTTCCCCTCAATATAGCGAAGTCCAGTGGAGTCGGCTTCTGGAAGTCGGGGGAGAATCGGACGTTTGCGCTGTGATGGAGAAGCAGTCGCACGATATCTATATTACCGCTCAATACGGCGTAATGAAGGACAGTCCGGTGGTCGTGACGCTCTGTATGTGGGTTCAGACAGTTATCAAACACTATTCATCAGTAGTGAGTGCTTAAAGAAACACTTATTTCGAGTTTTCAAACAAATTCATTCACAGATTTTTTTGTTCACTTTTTGTGTGTTTACGGAATAAGTCTTTTTCAATTTTTTTTAAACTAAACCAAAAAATTTGTTTAATAATTAATAACCAAATGACAGACATTTCGCACAAAAAAACAAATTGACTTAAAAATAAACATTTTCTCGAAAGCCATTATATTTTAATTCTATATTTATGTTAGACTTATGGTTAAAAATAGAAACTTTTCTGTATTTAGACTATAGGACGAGAGAGAGAGAGAGAGAGAGAGAGAGAGAGAGAGAGAGAGAGATCATACCTGAGGTCATAGCGTTAGGATCGGCGCCGTAGTGGAGCAGTATCTTTGCGGCCGCGTATCCCTGAGGATGTCTGCAGGCTTTCATCAATGGTGTCAAACCAGACCTGTCTCTCGAGTCAGGACAGGCGCCGAACTTGAGGAGCATTTCCATGAAAGTGATATTTAGCGGTGAAATCAGATTGATTTCGGAGCCCAAGAAATATCTGGCGTTAGGGTCGGCCCCGTTCTGGAGCAGTATCTCAGCGCACTCTTTGTGGCCATTCTTAATGGCTAACCTCAACGGCTCGTCAGCCAATGTAGCTCTTGGAGGGTTGCCTAATGCCTGTGCCAACAGAGTTTGGTTAGACATCGCTATACCGTTGCTATTATTTTTCAACAGTTTATGGTTAGTGTTCAACAAAAGTCGAGAATATCTGCTAAGTCTTAACAGACAGAACCTGTCCTCCTATTCACAGCTTTCCGCTAACCTCTGACCTGAGTCTATGAATAGTGTTTACAAAACATAAAGTTTAATCATTTCATAAGCCGAGGCCCTCTAACAACAGGGAATAGTCCCGAAGCCAAAGCCCTCTGATAATGGGCTGGTGTTGGCATCGGGCCAATGATTGAGGCATTTTTGTTCATAACTAGTAGTTATGATGACTCGTGTTGTGAGCCATCATCTGATATTTGTACGAATGTGTGACTCAATACATCACAACACAAAACAAACCCAAAGATCTGTCTTTCGAGTGAAGTTTTTCTCCTAAATGCCCACAAAATTTGACAGATTTTGGCAAAACTATTCTCAGCTGAGAAATACAATTACTATCACTACTGAGATTTGAACTAAATTTAGTGTTTTGCCATAAAAATTAGTTTTTAATGCTTTTTATTGCTATCTATATATCTCTTCATTTCCTCATCATTTGGACGACTCTTATGAAACGAAATGCCAAACGAAGGCATTCAGAGAAAAGGCATTATCTTTAGAGTTAATAAACACTAAAAATGCCAAAAAGAGATTTTCAACAAATCTTGTGAGTCATGTAATTATATTTTTATTTCATTTTTCGAGATCACAATCGCTATAAATATTGAAATAGAGGCATAACTTCGTTAAGACACATAAATAGAGGATTAATGACATGTTTCGGTTAATCTCTTCATCACATAAAAAGCCAACTAATCATTAAAAGCAATAAAAACAAAAGACATGAATATTTGATAGCAATTCTTGATGAGTTTAAAAATATCGACTCAATTGCGGCGACTAATTAAGAGTAAAATGAGTAGTAATTACGGGGGGAATGGGATGTAATGCTAGAATCGGGATTACCTTATCGTCGGGATGTAGTTCTGTGAACTTCACTCGACAGCTGCGATCCAACAGCATTTGCATCAGATCTGAATAACCCCTCTCAGCGCACAAATGCCTGCAATGCATACAAACACACTGTCATCACAATTAGTACAGAATATTCTGTATCACAACAGTCACAACATTTCAATGATTCCTACCATTCATTCACTAATTATTTACATAAATAGATAACACTGTAGTATTAGGATGTAATGCTTACAGCGCTGTATAGCCGACCTCATCCATGGCGTCCACATCACTGCCGCGAACCAGAAGAAGGTTCACGGCTTCTGAATACTTCTGATACGTGGCGTAATGCAAAGGTCGGAGCCCTGGGCGCAGGCAGTGGTCAGTAAGTAATGGGCTCTCATAGTGGCATCATATACTGTAGAGGGGATAGGAAATTAGGCATACCTTGAGTGACGGGCTCATTAACTTTGGCGCCACAGGCCAGTAGTATCCGGAAAGGTAGTGGTCAGTAAGTAATGGGCTCTTATAGTGGCATCACATATACTGTAGAGGGGATAGGAAATTAGGCATACCTTGAGTGACGGGCTCATTAACTTTGGCGCCACAGGCCAGTAGTATCCGGATGTCGTCGAGTGGAGCGCATCGTATGATAGAGTCGGCTAACTCTCGCTGAAGAGTTTGCAGACACGGCAGGGAAGGCATCACAGAATCGGTTTGTTTTCAAAACAAGAATTATATTGTTTTCAATGGTATTATCCGCGAAATTCTTGGAGTAGTTGTTGTGTATGTTTTTGTCTCACAATAACTTTCGTATGAATTGTTTTCAAATCGTATTCAAAATTCAATAATCAGATGATTTGCTGTTCAATGGAAACAAAGTTTGTTTTTAAACATAAATTTCAATTTCAAGAACACTTTCCTCTCATTCACTGAATGACTGCATAAAAACGTATGACTTTTAGCTAACACTGAGTGACTGAATGTGTGGCAAAACGCCAATCAATTACATAAGAATACAGAATAAGAAACGATTCCTTTATTTCGTTAACTCCTGACTCTATTTATAGCCCCAAATGCCAACCCTTTCAGAACCGATTGCACTCTCTTTTGCATCATTTTTATCCAGTACTCACTCAAGACATTGATTTGTTTTGTTTTTGTGTCTCATAAACATTACATTATCACCATTATATATACTGTACGGTACTACAGAATATCATATGAGTTCGCATTAGATAGTATTTAAATTTAAAACATTCAGTCAATTACTGCCAAACTCTGATATAAATCATTTCATATACAATTGAAATATGCTAATTTTATTGCCATTATACTAATTAATAGACTAATTGTCACAGAATTTTATTCAAATAAAGCATTAAGTTTATGCAACTGTTAGTAATATAAAAAAAACTTAATTACTTACCGTTTAATCACAGGTATTGCATACAAATCAAATATAACTTGCTATTAAAGTCTGAAATTGTTGACAACTTTAGACGCATACAGATTATGAAAAGGCATATTCAATCGTCAACCAAGAAATGAGTTGTGTTTCAAACGATATTCACAAAAGATTTTATAAGACTCTGATCTCTCTGTGTCCTTATATTCAAGGATGAGATGCCATAAATGAAAAAAGGAGAGCACATGACTAGCCGGAGCGATGGTAACTAACCATTTATTTCTGCCGCAGTTATAGTGGTATTGGTTTGACATCACAGACGCTGTCAAGCCCTCGAAACTCCCTTTTAGTTTTGAACAACTTTTTAAAAGCGTTATGTAAATCATAAATATAATTATTATTAATCTAATTGTTATCAATTTTAATACACATTTTATACACATTTTGTTTATTTTTATAATTTTTTTGTACTATATTAATATAAGAATATTCTTTGCGGTTCAGTTCATTCATCATAAACTAATGTAATTATTCGTGAATGTGTTTTAATTACTGCGGGTATTACCGTAATATAGTACAATTGTAAATTAGTTAAAAGCTTAATTAAATAAAAGTTATGTGAGTTTTGTAAGTTTAAAACTTGTAAATACAGTAATAATTTTCATAAAGAATATTCTGTCGAGAAATTAGTTTTCGACGAACAGTTCGCTCTCCAGTCAGTGGTAGTCTTAAGAGTAGATGAAAGTGATCGGAGCAAAAAAAGGAGAGCACATGACTAGCCGGAGCGATGGTAACTAACCATTTATTTCTGCCGCAGTTATAGTGGTATTGGTTTGACATCACAGACGCTGTCAAGCCCTCGAAACTCCCTTTTAGTTTTGAATAACTTTTTAAAAGCGTTATGTAAATCATAAATATAATTATTATTAATCTAATTGTTATCAATTTTAATACACATTTTGTTTATTTTTATAAATTTTTTTGTACTGTATTAATATGAGAATATTCTTTACGGTTCAGTTCATTCATCATAAACTAATGTAATTATTCGTGAAATTTGTTTTAATTACTGCGGGTATTACCGTAATATAGCACAATTGTAAATTAGTTAAAAGCTTAATTAAATAAAAGTTATGTGAGTTTTAATTCAAATTTTGAACATTTATGTCATTATTAAAAGTATTTCTTATAAGACAGCTCTTTAATCAAAAGCTGCTTGTCAAGCGAGAGGTCAGTCACCATCAGAATTCTCATCTACTTTCACTAGCCTCGTGAGAGTGCGTACCAATCCCTGGGCTCATGCCTTCAAAACATGTCAACGGCTTAAACAAAACATACAAAATAGTCATTAAACTAAACTTTTGAAAGTTCACAATCACTCCAAACACTCGCACCTCATTCGCCCGAAATGGGACTTTCGTTCACAACATACTCAACACTTTTTATGCAATATTTTCTACACAAATCTCTAATCAATGTTAATTCAGTTATTTCTATTTAATGGGTCACTAATTGTAATTCATTGTCAAAATTGTAACAAAAAGAGTTTCGCATTGAAAGCCCACTTACGAGTAGATGAGCGCACATTCACATGACATTCAAGTGATGCGTCCTTTCACTCACATCTCGCGTAATGTCACAAAACTTTTACATCATTCACTCACTCCTATAATATATATCATTACTCACCACCCATTCATTCACCGAAACTTTCAATTGAATCGTATTTTTAAGTAACAAAAAATAAATAAATACACGAATAAATTATTTAAAATTATTTTTATTGTCAATAATATTAACTCTGTACTCGTAATATAGAGCTTACAATCAACTCATCTTGTTTAACACACATATAGTAAATATAAACATTACATTTAAAAACTAAATAATAAAAATTTCTTCATATCCTTGTATTGCAATTCTTTGAGACATTTAAATGAATTTTTAGTTTTGACATGTATTTCACTTAATTAGCGAAATATTTGAGATAATTAGTGGGGCTATGTTTTGTGTCATTTACTAATATATTGCATGACATTCACAAAAATTGCTGAGAAATGTGTCGATAATTAATGGCTATTGAGTCGTGTATTCTCAACAGTCATCGCTTAGGTCGGACTCTGGAATTATAGGACCTGGAATAGCAACAGCCATACCATTGCTGAGGCGCACCGGTACTTTCTTGAACTGTAGAGCAAATGGCAATCAATTAGACACCAATTGACGAGTAAATGAAATATAAATGGACTCACGTCTGGATTGGCTGTAATAGAGGCAACAATTTTGCTGAGATCTTCGTTGCCTAACGGCGTTTCGGACGTTATAATCACACTTTTGCCCGCATATGAGTGATTGGGACTGAATAACCCGGTGCCCGAGACTGTGGTCACTTGTGCTGCCAGATTGGGCTGACTATTGGACACTATTGGGTGCGAAGTGGTGCCAGTGCTCGATGTACTGGAAGCTATAAGTATGATAATAGCGTTAAATAGATGGTATCAAAAACACATATAGCGTATGGTTTACAAGAAATGTGATTTGGTTTCAACTTGAGATGCGGGTTAACCACTGTAGCGATTGTCTGACTATTCAGCTTATGCTTCGGTGCTATCAGTGATGTTGAGCTCTTGGAGGCATTCAATGATTTGGTCATCGATTTAATGCGCGATATATTGGGCACATTGATTACGGGACCCGTCACTGAATTGCTTGAATGCAAACCTACTGTAATTCAATACACATTTATAACATTAATTCAATTCACAGGGAATACAAGCCTCGCATTCATTCATA